TGTTGAGCTTAGAGACAGGGTTACGAAATTGGAACAGAAGCAGACACAAAATGATACCGTACACGTATTAGAAGATTTTATTCTCCACGAAGCATCATCTGATATTTCTTCCAATATTCATACATACTCGTCCGAGCCTAAATCATTGGAAAATAAAGAGATCAATGAGTTTCTAGATTTTAAAAGTAAGGAAAGAGTTAATTAGTAGCGAGATAAAACAACGCAATAGGGAGAAGAAGCTTCGAGATCAAGCCTATCTTTGGTTAGCCATAAGAAAAAGGGAACAGATAAACTCTGGCAAGAATTATTCAATACTTCTTTATAGCCGAGTTCGCAAGATCACTCTATCAAAAAATATTAAACCAGGACAGATCAAAATTTCTGAGACGGCCCGTCCCGAAAAATTTGAGGGCATGGATGATTTTGCGAAGTGTATTGTTAATTCATTCGACATTAATGAGGTATCACAATATTTAGCTCAGTTGTGCGATACAGTCATAGACGCAGAAGATCGAGCTTCGAAGACTAATCAGGAAGAAATCGTGTACTGGTCTCTTCATGGTAGGGATTTTGAATTTCAAGTTGGTGAGATAAGTAGTAAAAATAAAATTGGCGAGAAAAAAGCAAGAATCTTGATTTATAATGAAATTGAAAATAAATTCTGTATTCTTTGTAAAAAATGATCACAAGACTTGGACTTACAACTTCCAAATATATCACGAGATACCTTGCATAAAAAAACTCAAAGAGCTGTAAAAATTTATAAGTTATTCAAAAAGATAGGTCTAGATAAAATTAAACATATTAAGAATTATAGTGCAAATTCTATCTCGGAACTTACTAATAATCAAATTCAAGAGATTATTAATCATCGTTTAATGAGCCAAATCTCTAATTCTCCTTCACTTGAAATCACACCTGAAGTATCTTTTGAAGATAATATAATTGAAATTTCCGGAACAGCCCGTCTCGAAAAGACTTTATTAGAAATTGAGATAAATGTATCATCTGCATCATGATCCAAGAGAGATTTACCAAAAGTAGAGGTAAATGTGCCATTCAAATCTCAAACTGAATCAAAGATCTTATCTGAAAATAAAAATAATCTGACCCATGACCGTGCTATTTTCCACAATAAAACATTGGAACAATATCCTGATCTATATTATGAATTCAGTGATAAAAATATTGATTATTACAGAATTACTAATGGAGCACTATGCCCAATATGCAAATTAGAACATAATGAAGAGGAAAGTATAGAAGGTAGATATGAAACTGGGGAATCAGAGATTCGATGCTCTGTATCATCATACTATATTAAATGTGAATAGCACGAAATTCAAATTACTGTATAAACTTTAGATGCGAAGCAGTTCTATCATTTTATTATGTTTTATAACTCATTAGTATGCAATAAGAATAAAATAAAATAATATTTTTTAGTATGTAATACTCAATGCGAGAAATTAAATTGCTTTGAGATTATATAAATGATAACATGGATATACAAGCCAAGTCTGATGAGGTAATAACCCCTGAATATCTGGATTGGTATTCCAAATTAACTGATTTGCCAACCACTATATCTGATAAACTTCGTTCCAAGTTATATAAAATATATAAGAAAAAAACTGGAGTCGATCCCTGTTAAACTCTGAAACTTCCCAAATCAAAGAGAATATTGATAATCATTTTTTACGAGACTGTATCATCAAGATTTCTAAATTTCCGGAAGAAAAAGATGTGATTATTGAAACAGTACAGAAACAATTCCCTTTCTTGAAATATACTAAATCGAATGCATGGTACCAGGATGTTTTTAAATATACTGACTCAGAAGCTTCATGTCCAGTATGCAAAGATGTACATACTCATTAGGAATATGGGGTGACTGGAGCTGTCTCAGTAAATATGATTACTATTTTCTTAATTGCTCTTTTTGTATCAATCAAAAGAAAGTTATTATTGCCATATAGAGTTTGCCAGAAACTCAAGTAAGGGTACCAAACAAAATCAGTAACTCACCAATTCATCCAACCAAAATCTGTCTTTATCAATATGCTATTGAAAATGACCTTGATCCCGAAAAATTTTCAGTTATTACTAAGGCTGAGAAAGATAGGTGGACTATGAAATGCTTCCGCAAGGACTTAGAAAGAGATATACATTTTTATCGTGGTGGAATAAAAAGAAAAGAAGACCCTAGAAAATATTGTGAATGTTTAACAAATCGGGAGAGGCTGGTTGGTGAAGAGTTATTACATTGCAGTATACTAAAAAATGATTTAAGTACTGCATAGTTAGATGATCTGATGAAAAGTGGGAAGAAATCCATACTCAATTCATAAAAATTTTCAGCCAGACATAACCAAATCAGGAGATTTTCTATTTTCAATAATTGGTGCAAGTAGTAAATTGAAAAAATGAAAAATTCTATCAGCATGGGTATATGTGAAAAAGTGATCAGTTACATAATATTATATACTTTACTTGGAATATGTCGCACCACATGCATTTTTTTCTAGAAATTCTGGAACTTTTCTATCACGCGCACAGGCTAAATGTTTTATTTTATTGCCGAACAATGAGACTCGCCTCTATGAAAAAATTGCATCAAAGACGATAACTGATACAAATAATAAAATTTGTGAATAAATATTGCAATTACACGATACAAATACAGACAAAAATTTAATTTTCTTCTGGTACAGGTTAAGGATGCTTGCCTAAATCCTTTCAGAAAAATATCGTCATAATTTTGACGGGTTACACACTAATTATTAATTAGAATTTTGACATAATTTCAGTTACGACGGTTTCAAAATTCGTCAGAATTTCGACAGATTATTTACTAATAGTTTATTATAATTTCGACAGAATTTAGACAGTTACTAAGGGATTTCGGCAAGCAACCTTAGTACAGATTCTACGAGGATATGGATAATATTACAATCAAGATTCTCACTGAAATAATCACTGATTCTACCCCCTGATGTCATATTTACATATACTACAGGTCCCAGATGAAATGCACGAAGCTGGTAGTTAGTATGAGTTAACCCACCTGGCATAAGAGATTGAATTTGATTCATAAGTGCATTGACTGTTGATGCATTAGAAATAGTGATTATGTGAATTCGGTAAGATAAATCATGGACTGCATTAATAGGCATAAAGAGGCAGTTGAGATTAATGCTGGCACTAGTAGTTTCACTCATTTTACGTTCCTAAATAGAAAGATTCATAGTGAGTATGATGTTGCTTTCATAGATATTTAAACAGATATACCTTTTAAAATTCGTAGGAAGGTAAGGGACAGACTTTGAATAATTCCTGCTTATTTATATCGATTCACTCAATCTGAAGCTTGTTAGAGGGATTTGACATGTTAGTGGTTTTGTTCTCTATCATCTGGATCTCAGATTCCTAATATAGTAAGATTCTTAAACCTGTTGCGATTCAACCCCATAGAAAGCATCGTCATATGTCAAGAACTCAACAAAGAAGAGATATATAATTATATTATGCAAGTTTTGGGGAGTTTCATTCCCTTTAGGGTTGAGATCACTCCTGCAAGACAAAAATTGATTAACGCAACAACAGTCTAAAATTGCAGAAATTTTGAATCCTGTAACTTGAGGTTTTTGTTATAAAAATTAATAGATATTGTCAAGCCTTTCCTCCTATAATGTTTTGAAGCTTCGTTTTCACATGCCTTATCACAAAAGCATATGTGAAAGAAAGACATTTTCCTATATAAAATAAAGCGAAAAAAATAATGATTATCTATATAGTACAGTTATATATATTCCATGAACTTCTATTTCAATTCCAGTTGGTTAATAATTTCTGGTTTCTAATTGGATGGATCATTACTCTGGAATGCGGACACAGTTGATATGCTTATTTTTATGATGTTTTTGGATAGAAGAGTCAACCTTTTTCTTTTCAACATGAACACGATTCTTTCAGGATTTTATTGGGTCGAGATCATACCAGTCTGAATCTGTGGATTCTGAATCAGAGCTAAATAAATTAATCTCTATCTCAGATTTGTTTCATGACGTTTCTTTCGTTGCTTATTATTACAAAACAATGATTCTTCAATTCTATCTTCGATATTTGAGAGAACTTTGTTAATTATATTTATAACTTCCTCTTGAGCTAGATCAGATTTAGATTCCATTAATTTAGGGACAAAGTTCCATGATTTAGAAAATTGCCTAGGCACGCAAGTGCTATTGTTTCACAATACAGCCTGCTTTGCAATAGATAAGTTATTTTTAGTAGAGCTGGCTTTGTTAAAATCTTTATCGATTAATGGGATACTCATACCGTCTATCTCAATTTTAGTATGAGGATCATGACTTCCTTTAGAAGATAATTTAAAGTTCATCTTAACTTCATGTATCCACAACCACTCTCGACCCAATACCAGATCGAATGTTGGATTCTTGCAAATTTTGAAGTATATTGCATCGGTATAATCTAAACTTTGCCATTTTCCTTTATAATGAAACTGTAAATCTAAGCAATTTATCTCACCTATTACATCTTCGTAGAGACATTCAGCAGGATCACAGCTAGGGAGTATTCCATGGTTCGATTTAAGTTTATTGAACAGCCTCTTGCTAATGGTATTAAACTTTGACGAAATATCAATTAATGCTTTGACTGGGATTTTTCCTTTGACAATAGTATCAACAAATATATTAAGTATATTTAATAATATATATTACCACGAAAAAATAACTAATAATTAATTACCCATTCTTCGACATTAAATAAAATTATTTGTAAACCATGCTGAATGATTAGAATTAATCCTACCAATCTCTCTGATATAATTACTGAGCGCAGAAATAAGATCTGTTTCATCTAATAATGTACTGGTAAATATTGGAATAGGTAGATCAGAATCAGACTATTTTTATCTGAATAATTAGGATATTTGATTTTATTTTTGGATTGAATTTTTTTATTACTTCTTTGTTAATCCCTTTACATCTCTTCAAACTAAAATATTCCAAATTAATACAGTTGTGGGCTATTTCTTCGACAACTTTATTACCAATCAAACAGTTGCCAAGCTCAAGATGTCTAAGTTTCAGGCACGAGCAAGTAATTTTAGTGATACATCGATTAGTGAAACATATATATGAATTAAGACTCAGATATAATAGTTTTAGGCAATATCTTGCGATTTTTATGATTGATATGTTAGAGAAACCATCACTTTGATCAAGAATGAGAGTGCGTATATTTGGGCATGAGCATAATATCACACTAATCAACGCATCTTTGATTTTTAAACCTTCCAATCTGAGATATACTATCTTGGAGCAATATGCTGGTTTTATCTTTTCACACATGATTTTTTTAAACTTTATCAATTGCCGAGTAAGAGCTCGAGGTATTTTTCGACTGTACAGACCTCTCTAATAATCTTTTTCTGTAAAAAAACTTAATGCGACGTCATAGAATAGGAGCACCACAGTGATACCAAAAGCTGTTAACAAACAGTGCAGGATAGAGGGATCGATCAACTTCTAAAAAATATAAGATCTGTTCTAGTAATTCTGGTAAATCAAAAATATCTAGTTACGTTATTCTTAAGTTGTATATTATATATCTTTAATCAAAAAAATAACTAAGTTTATATAATAAATTTTAGGTATACATATTATGTATTTTTCAGATATTCTCAATTTTGCTTAGCTTTTCTACTAGCTCATCTAATGGAAGATCCAATCCACATCTTCTGGTTTCTATCTGATTATCAGGTGACAATCCACGAAGAAAGAAATATCTAAGCCATTCTTCATGTATTCAGCTAATTTACCACATTTTTCTACTTTTGCAAAATACTCCATTACTGATTCGTTTTCTTGCTCTAATTCTCCAAATCAGAATTTTTGAATATCAGTAGGTCCGCTTGAGATAAATTTTAAATGCTCAATTATATTATTTATAGACTCCTTAATCCCAAATCAGATCGCATTTATTTGATTCTCCGGTGATAAATCATTGATAAAATTTTCTTTAATTTTTTCATCATCTATACCTAATCCCAGTGATAATTTTATTCATTTGAAGTATCCATCCACAAACTTATCAAGTTGTATAAGCAATGAAATATTTTTAATTTTTTCAGGTTCTGAAACTGGAGAGCTCAGATATAATTCTTGCATTGTTTATTTTCATAAATAAATATATATAATATATTTTTCTCTTCGTATTGCTACGGTTACTTTAAATGAAGAGTTTTTTCACTATTAGTAAAAGAGTTATATGAGTTGGGAGAGAAAAATAGACTAATAAAATTGATCAGTGCAAAAATAAGTATCTAAGTCTGTACCAATTTCGACAGAAATTGTTAAACAATTCTATCAAAGATGAAAAGAGAGGTTGGGAGAGTGTGTTCAAAGAGGTGATTAATAAAAAGGGACTGCTAATTAAAGAAAAGGGTATTAATGTTTCTATACTTGTAGTCATACGTTCTAGTACTTTCAATACCAAAGAAAATGAATAACTAAAAGAAATATTACTTATTTAGAATTGCGATGCACAACTATACAAATCAATATCACTTATTTAAAGTTGTAGTGCACAACTATACAAATCAATATTACTTATTTAAAGTTGCGGTGCACAACTATACCAAAAATAATGCTATAGCAAATCAAAATACTTATCCAAAAATACTT